GTTGAACCGTGCGGCAGTTGCAAAGTAAAATCCACCCCGATTTCCTCGGAATCGGTTCCTCGGAGACAACCCCTTCCTCGGAATCGGTAGAGTCTCACAAATGTGGCTAATTTCAGATATATTTAAAACGGTGGGTATAAAAACAGTTGATTATAGTAAAACCTATAGAAGAAGGATTAGAAAAATACATTTTTAAGAGGTTTCTTCGGAATATTCTTCTTTCAACATTAGCCAAAGTAAATAACAGAGAAATTTACAGAATTTTCTTTTCCAATTTAGTTTTAGGTTTTACAGTATGGGCGGGTGATTCCAGAAGAAAAAGAAACAGCCCTGAAAGTGTGATAGCAACAACGCTATTCTGAAAAAAAAACCTTGCTCATCAAAAAAATGATTTTAAATCTTTCTCTCAAATAGTTTATTATCCGGCTTCCTTCAAACTACACAAATGGAAACAATTAGGCTTTAACCCCAGAAGTTGTTCCATCCATCTGACCATCTGTCGAAGAGCGTCTTACGTGAAGTGGTGGTACGTCTCGGAGTTGTAGTCGTGGTTTTTCTAGTAGTAGTCGGACTAGTTCTAGTAGTTTTCAGTGGAGTTCTAGTCACTGTCGTTATGGATTTTCTTGTTGTAGAAGTTGTCGTTGTCGGAGTCGTTGTACTAGAAGACGTGGTTGGAGTTGTCGTTGAAGACGTTGAAGAAGTAGTGGTTGACTCTGATGTAGTAGAAGAAGATGATGAATCCGTAGTTGAAGTGATCTGAAGAAATCAGTGTTCAAAAATGAGAAACTTCATAGTTCAAGTACCGTCTCCTCCTCCGCCTCCTCCACTTGTTCATTGTCCCCCTCGACATCCTCTTCATAATCATCTTCATCTTCATCATCATCGTATTCGCATCCACAATCTTCTTCACACATTCCATCCCTACACTCATCCAAATTTTCATCGTTTTTTGCACTGCTGCTCTCCATTGTTGGAACCACTGGGGGACTTGTCGTCGGAATCACAAACTCTCCTCCACCAGCTCTCGGTGGAACGTAAGTTTCATTGACACCAACTCCGGTAGCTTGTGACCAATAACTGTACAACCGACAAGGATCTTTTCCGGGAGTTCGTTTGACCCGAAAGTATCCTTCTTCTCCCCACGTGGACCCCCAGCTGTTTCTGATGAGCCAGTAGTCAGCAGTGAATCCGACGATCACTACAGCGTGATTAATGGAAGTTCCACAATCACCATCGTAGATTCCTGTTACAAAAGGATTTGAAAAAATGTCTAAAAATGTTAGAAAACCTTCAGAATATTTATAGATGTCTGGTCCAGCTGCCATTCCAACTGCAATTGGGCCTTTTCTGACTTTATCTTCAATATTTTGTTCCATTGTAATCAACTGATCAGATGATATATTTCCAGATATATAGCCATCATCAAACAACAGAATCGTAGGGACGACAGGAGGAAAATATGGGGAGTCACAAGAAGAATCCTAGACTTTGAAACAATAAAAAACCATTCAGAATATGTAACTCACATCCATATCAAACGGGATATCCTCTGCATTTCTGGCTCCAGTCCTCTCCATATACGTCCCAGCGATTTGAAAATATCCTCCTTTACATCCAACATTTGCCAATCCATAAGTCAAATCTTTGGCAGTGTCACAATTCAGAAGCTGTTGTACTGAGAGACTTGATGGATCGTATCCTCGAATCGAAAAGAATCCCTCGACCATTGCGATCATAGAAAACGCCCAACAGCCGCCACACGTCAATTGATTTAGAATAGGTTTCATATACGGTCTCCAGTCAACACTATCCGTTGTTTGTCTTTTAGATCGGATTGGCGATGGTGACGTGGCGGGGATTACTGTAGGAGTGAGAGCATCTAGATTGAGGGTGAGAGGAGCGATTTCTCCGGATAACTGAAACAAATTCGAACTACTACTTACAGAATTAATACAGTAGTTCTTACCGCTACTGAGAACTCATTAGTTATCATTTTATAACTAGTCATTCCCAAAGTGTACATAATGTTATGCTCATCCACTTCTTTCTTTGCATCAGAATACACTCTGAATCTTTTGAGACCTTCAGAAGCGGAAGAGTTAAAATCTGAAAAAAAAACGGAATGGACAAGGACATGGATTTTTGATTCTTTTTCCGTACTAATTACATCCATGAGTGATTTGAATGCGCCGTCGTTATTCATTGCGTCGTTGAACTTTTCCAAAGAAGTTCTCTGAAATTTGGAAAAGGGAAGAATTCAGAGTTCATTTTGAGGAACATACGAATGCAGTTGTGGTAGGGATAGTGGACGGAGTTGTCGATGGAGTAGTAGATGGTGCCGTGGAAGGAGTGGTTGATTGAATAAAGGAACAACACGTCCTTTGACAGTAGTCCCCAATCTTCATAGTCAGATAAACAGTCGGATCCAATTTCAAAATGTCCCTTTTAGCGAGGAAAACCGGAAACTGACATTTGTATTCCAGGGAACTGTATCTTATAACAGACACTGCCAATACTTCATCGCAGTACTTCTCGTTGTTCTTACAAGATTGTGACTCGATTTTTTGAATGAAGAACAGGAGGATTAGAAATAGTAGAGCCCTCATTGAATTGGGGGAAAAATCAAGAGAGAAATTCAAAAAGTGCTCAGGATGGAACATTGACACAACTAACATTTAGGTGTGATACAGGTGAGCAAACGGAAAGTGGCGAAAGGCGAAAAGTTGCACACTTTTTGGGGGATTCGAGGGCAGAAAGGATTGGGATCAACGGCTAAAAAGATTGTCAGGCTCTGACTCAAGGAAAATAATGCTGTCTAGAGAGTGGGCTGAAAGTACTGGTGGACCCTTCACTCGCAAAATTTTTTCAATTATCTCACTATGTAACCGCAAATATCAGTAGGTATTTATCACTCTTTGCAAGGCATGGATTTCCCTTTCAAATCAAATTCTAAAGAGGAAAAACTGATTTTCCCCCGATCTTTTTGCACAAATTTTTAGACCTTTTTGGTTTTTCAGCTATTTTTGAAAATTCTTTTTGATTTTTCCGAATTTTTTGTTTGAAATTTGACAGAATGGTGTTCGCGGAGATTACTGTAGATTACTGCAGTAAACCTTCTATTATCGCTGTCTGAGAAAAAAAGGATAGAGTGTATTTTTTGCAGTCTGAATACGGTAGCAAACTCGAAGCGACAAGCCTAAATAGCACAGAAAAAACTACGAAAGGAAATTTTTACAGTAATCTACTGTAATCTTCACGAATAGCGTTCCAGTAAATTTCGGACAAAAACCGGAAAAATCGAGAATCTTTGTCAAGAATCTTTGTCAAATAGCTAGAAAACCTAAAAAGATCGGAAAATTTCGCAAGAATCTGATTAAAAATAAGTTTTCTCGAAAAAAATTGCTAATTTTCCGGATTTTTCATTTTTAGCGGGAATTCAAAAAAAAAAAGATTCGAGAACATTCCAGAAGTTTCCAGGAATGGACCAGAAGCGATTTGTTGAGATTTTGCCTGTTTTTTTAAATATCAGTAGGTCTTTATCGCACGTTACAAGGCCTGCTTTGGAGCGAACAAGTTGTCAATATGGGATCGGAGCTTCACTTCTGGACCGTTGTATGTACATTGGAGCATTACGAAACCGAAAATCAGGACATGTTGATGTAGGTCAGCTTTAAGATGCCTAAAACTATTACAAAGTTTCCAGCTTTTACGAAGATTCAATTCTCCGCATGAAAGCTGTTCCATCAAATCGCCATATTGTGGCGCACTTTCTGAAGAACCATGGCAGACAGATACTTTATGAAGTAGTTGTTGTACCAGCGGATCTTCAGAAAAACAAATATGACAAATACTTGTCCCTAGATATGTAATAATGTTCTGTTAACTACGTTTACTGTACACTTTCTTTACTTGTTTCACTATTTACCCCTTTGGAAAAATATTATTATATAACCCGTAATCACCGTTAAAAACAGACCAGCCTTGCACCTTAACTGTATTTTTTTTCTAATCTCTTCATTTTTTTCAAATTTTTACAGACATGAACTTTGTTGTGTGCGGCAAAAAACTAATTTATTTCATTTCAGCGCTAGAATTAAAGTAAAAATAACTATTACAGACAACTTTAAAACTGTGTAATATCCGTTGCTCAATTCTTCCTGATTCGCAGCATAGACAGTTTTCCCCGCAACACTTTTCAACGGTTTCGATCTGCTTTTTATCATCGGATGAATCGGCGGATTACAGTTGTTTTCAGAGCACAAACAGAATGTTGCCGTGACAGAGTACACTGGGGAGGTCCTGAAAAATACTGAACACTTTTAGATTCACAGAAAACCATACCTGATCGAGATGGTTTTTGTTGAGCAATTCTCATCGGTATCCACGTCGTCAGGAATGATTCCTGTAGAACATCCATATGAAGTTCCTAAAAAAAGAAAATATGGGAATGTCAGAATATTTCATATTTACCAAAATCTGAGTCGATTGTTGAACTGGAAACATTCAAAGAGAAACAAGGTCCTGAGCAATCCTGAGTTTTGAATTCGTTCTTTTCACAGTCAATGACACGACCAATATACGAATGTTGGATTTCTCGGGGATTTTCGAAAAACGATCCATAGTGCTGAAAGAAGTTTTTAGTAGTCCAGAAACTCAATTCATATTGAAGGTTTCTATTTCTATTCTAGAAAAGAGGCAAACAAAAAATATAAAGTCCTGGAGTCCTTGGACATGTGGTGTTGCCTTTCAAATGAGCAATTATTTATTCTATTTCCCAGTAATCGAATTGAATGAAATGTTAACTAGAGAGGTAGTTGGAAAGAAACTGGCGACAAGAATTTTTTTTGGAATGAAATATTATGAAAAAATACTTGAAAGGGAAGTCTGGAAACCTTTGGCTTCAAGATGTATTCTGAAACTATTTAATTTTGAAGCTCTATTTTTGTAATTATGGAGATCTTCTCTTGTCAAAGGTTATAACAAGATTCAAAGAATGTCTTTCACATTCTTAACCTTGATTTTCACATTCAACACACAAATCTTCAAAGTTCATAAAGCTAAAAACTCATATTTTCTCTCCAAACGAGAAAAACTCACATTTTCAATATTTGGAGATGAACAAACGAAACAACTGGCAGATACCATTCCAATAATCATCAATCCATTTATAACTTCACGAATCATTCCATTTGAAAACTGAAATTTAGAAATTGACAGAACAGTAGAAATGAGCATTCTTTTGTTGGCTCTTTTGAGCAATTTGAAGCTCATTCGACAAAAAGACTAAATGAAATTTTGTTGCTGCTCCGGCAGCTCTCAAGAGCCACACGAAAGGAAATGCATGCTTTTCCCTTTCCTCTTTTTAGCACGGGACATGAATTCTGAATTCTAAAATTTGAAATTCTGAATTCGTCCATCTGGAACATGCCGCCGAAAATAGCGAAGAAGGATTAGTTGAAAATGAAGAAAGAAGACAAATGTGAATTTTTTTGGAGAAAAAAGAAGAATGAGAAGAAGAGTTGCATTGAATTTCCGTTACCCTTTTCCGTTTTGTCTTCGTTTTGAGCTCATTTCGAAAAGACCACACCCCCACTTCTCTTCTTCTTCTTCTTCTTTTTATCTTTAGAGCAAATCTGATTTTTAATGAATTTCGTATGCGGGCTCTCGGTTTCTTTTTTCATGATCAGCTCATTTGAGATTCGTAATGTTGTTCGTGGAGTTTGCATACAAATAAATAACACCTGCTGGTAATTCGATATATGTCAGAATCGTGAAACGGAGAAGGAGAAGAGGCTACCGAAATTCTGAATCTGGAACGAAGAAAAAATCAATCTGAATCTGCTAAAACTTATGAAAATAGGCTTTAATCAAGATGAGGCGTCTTTGGATATGTACATGTAGTAATCTAGAATGTACAGTAATCCAGGATCTGAAATCACCAGTCGATTTCCGCCGCCTGTCGGCGGCTACAGTCTCCTGGCTTCACTAAAAACATTTGAATCTCCAAATGAAGAGGAAGTTTTAGTTGATTGTGTTGTCAACTTTCATAAACTGGAGTGACAGTCCGCTTATGCGCCTTCGGGGCTAAACCTTCTGGTTCCCGCTTACAACAGCCTTAACCGATTGAGTTTGGGCTTGGACAGATAAATCAGAAATGTAGATCAGAAATGTGTCTTACATTAGTTGAGACACGAACTGTTCAAAATTTCCAAATTTTTAGAACTAATAATTGTTTTGATTTCCCGAATACCTTGAAATTTGACAACATAATTTTTTCAGAAGTTTCGAAATTCAGAAGTCCTGGATTTTCGGAACTGCGATTCTAGAACTCAAAGATTTTTCTATTAAAATACTTCATTTCAGAACTCATAATTTCTGAAATTTCGTATTTTCGAGTTTCCGTATTTCCGACTTTCTGAGATTCTACTTCACAAATTCCCAGAATTTTAAATTTTAACACGAATCAGATTTTCAGAATTTTCTCTAAAACACATTTCTGAGTTTTTGATTCACAAAGTTTATGAATTTCCGAATTTTCTAAATTCCGAACTTGGGCTTCTGATATTTCGAACTTCTAAGTTTTTGGTTTTTCTGGTTTTTTGCTTTCGAGATTTTGGATTTTCAAAATTTCGAGTGTTCTAACTTTCAAATTTTTAAATTTCGTAATATTCCGAATATCTGAATTTTTATACTTCTGAATTTCCGAAACATTGGACATTTGAATTCTCTGATTTTCAAACTTTAAAACTCCCGAAGTTTCAAATCTCGGTAGATTCGAGTTCCCGTTTTTCCAATTTTCAGAATTTCTGAATTAGAATTTTAGAATTTCAGAGTGAAACCAAAATGTTTGAATCATAGAAATGGTTAAAAATTTTGCATTTTCGAAAAAATAATAGAATTTCGTGAATCAGAATCTCCGAAATTCAGTTTTTGAGAAGTTAGGGGATTCAGAAAGTCAGAATTTTAAAGTTTACTGAACTTTTTCTTTCTCTCTTCTTTCAAAACTAACAAGGGAAGTGTTTTCAGAGGGGCGTTGAGAATTTTCTAAAAATTTCAGTACTGATAGTTTGAGATATCCGCAACACGATGCCAAAAAAATCTAGGTTATAGTATCATCAACAAGCTGAAAATCTTCGTCTGAAAATTTTTGGTCGATTTCGCCCTCTCCCTCACTCCACTACGCCCCTCTCTCCTATACGCACTCCGCGCCAGAGGAAAATATCGGCTGTGTGGTGTTGTGTGGTAAGAGGGAGACTCATTAAGAGTGACTATGGTGGTTCGAACCCCACTGTGGTAAATCTTTTTTTTTGTTTTTTTTTCGAGACGAATTTTCGATATCCATTTTGGTCCCCTAAAAAATATAACAAATTATACTTATTTCATGAATTCCCGACGTTTTCAAAGTGAAAAAGAAGGCGTTTTGAATTTTGAAGAAATTTTGAAATATTGTTTTTTTCGACTTGTCCTATCGCCCAAAAGCAAAACTTTCGACTCTCGGAATTGCTCCGTCATGCTATTTTTTGAGTGGAACACCACTACATCAATCACCCAAATGATCTTCATATATTTCTGTGTGTTCCGTGCGATTTTGAGCAATATTTGAGAAGTTACAGTTTTTCAAATTTCTTGCAATTATCAGATTTTGGGAATTATCAGGGCTCACAGACGAAATCGAGCTGCCAAATTCTGTGAAAATGATGTTTCTATCATTTCTGAATGTTTGAAGGACTTTTTTGCACTTTCAACAAAATTTCTCGAAAAATCACTTTTAAAGTGTGGGGTACCCCATGATGATTTTTTTCAAAAAAAAATCGAAAAAAATTTTTTTTGAAATTGTACAAAAATTATTTAAGATGATAGAGAAATGATCAAAAAAGAGTTTCCCGCTTGAAAAAATCCTGGAAAAGGAGTTTTAAAGCTCGAAAAATGCACGTTTTTGGTCAAAATTTAGTACTGAAAACACTTTGAGAGTCCATATTTTTGTTCCTATTAGGGTTATGATCGAGATATTGCTGAAATCGTATTCAGCATGTTCAAAAGTACCTTTGTACAAATTTTGAGCTAATTCTCAACGCCCCTCTAAAAACACTTCCCTTGTAAGACTAAATAATTATTTCCACAAAATCATCTTTTTGTCAGATATAGTGAGGATAAGAAAAAAAATAGAGGGGTTGGACGGAAGTGACGTGAAAATAATTTTCTAAAGAGTTGCACTGTAGGAATGTCTCCAGATGACGTCTGAAACAAAATTTTAAAATGAAAAATAGACGGGCAACATCTCGCTGCTATTTCTGATCATCTGTGAAAATTTGAGAATTTTTGGTCTACTGGGGACTTCGCTAGGGTCGTGGAACCGGGAACAAACGGACACACAGACAGAATTTGGTGACTGTTAATAGTAAAGATGGTTGAGGTTCTGTACGATTGGTAGCTTTACGATTGGAAGTCAATCTACTTTAAGTCGATTAAAAAAAGACTACTGTAGGGAAGAAGTGTTTGAAAATATAAAGCATTACTGTAGGGGAAATATTAGAAAATGGATTACTGTAGGGAAAAATATTCAGATATGAAAGGATTACTGTAGGGAAAAATATTCAAAATATAAAAGGATTACAATAGCGGCTTTAAATCGAGTAAGGATCACGTACCCCCATTTTCGACATTTTGTAGAATTTTTTAACTAGGTCAATTCTGGTCCGTTTTAAAGGTGGTGTACGGTGAAATTTTTTATTGCATCAAAATGTGCAGAAATGCATGTAGATTGACTTAAAAATAAAGAAAAAATTCAAAAAAATTCCTTCATCGAGAAAAACGCATCGAAAAATATGCTGAAAGCCCTTAGGGACGAGGTTTTTTTCTAGGCCGCCCGGTGAGTAAAAGCGCGCGAATTCGAACTTTAAAATTTTTTTCGCTCGTTTTCACTTTT